AAGCCAGCTGAGTGACTTTGGGCCAGTCGCTTTCCCTCAGCCCTAGGAGGCAGGCAATGGCAGGCCCTCTTTTGAAATCTTTCCAAGACAATTTCAGGGGCCAGTCCAGGGAGTTGCCAAGAGCCAAGACCGTCTCACTAACACACACAGGTGTGCCACATTTCTCATAGGGACATCTTTGTGGCGTTGTTAGCAGGTGTCGTACAAAGGCCTATGCTTTGTCCTAACTCGGTTTGAACAGATAAATCGTCATTCCGGCACCCAGGGTGTCCCCGACAGTTATTTGAAAAGTGAAATTGGCAAGTGATAGACATACACATCCTGACTTAACGGAAGGACAGCTCGGAAGGATAACAAATCATCAATCATGGATGACATGGATTGGGAAAATTACTACTATGGTTCAGAATACAAATATAGGAACCCCGGAGTTCTCTGCTGAAGCTCTCCAGCAGGGGCTAAATAGAAAGAGAAACCGTAGTGTCTGTGATCACAAGTTACTCCTCTCTGGGGGCTGTTCTGTTCTGTTATGTTATGTTAATTTAATTTGTATACCGCCCTTCTCCCAAAGGACTCAGGGCGGTTCACAGCATATTAAAAAACAAATACTATACACAAAATACAAAAAATACAAAATACAAAAATACAGAAATACAAAAAATAAACCCCAATAAAAGCCGAATTAAAAACCAAATATTGCCAGCTGTGTTTCCGATTAAAATTACTTTTAAAATCATCCCTACCTAAAATCNTCCGGAATCATCCGGATCTCGGGGGGTAGTTCATTCCAGAGGGTGGGGGCACCCACAGAGAAGGCCCTCCCCCTGGGGGTCGCCAGCCTACATTGCTTGGCCGACGGCACCCTGAGGAGGCCCGCTCTGTGGGAGCGTACCGGTCTATGGGAGGGAATCTGTGGCAGAAGGCGGTCTCGGAGGTAGCCAGGTCCGATGCGGACCATCTTGACTAGGTTGCGAAGAAAAGCTTTCTCAGTGACTGATCCTTGGAAAAACTTGGAGTGAGCGAATTCCTTCCTTTCGTAGCTTATACCAGAAGAGAAGGCTAATTGCTTTCAGTGGCTCTGTTTTACTGCAATATTTTAATGCCTTGCTGTTATTTTGAACAACCCTTCCATTTACAGTAGCAAGATGTTTCCGATGTGTATGGCAAGTGGTTTGATACTTTCCCCCTGGACCCAACACTATCCTTCCTCCCTGTTACACCCCGTAGGTCTCTTCTTTTGCCTCCTACTTTTTCAGACCTAGTCATAACAGAGGGGATAGAATCAAGATCAGGCGAAGTATTAATACCACTCTACAATGCCTTGGTAAGGCCACACTTGGAATCCTGCATCCAGTTTTGGTCACCATGATGTAAAAAAGTTGTTGAGACAATAGAAAGAGTGCAGAGAAGAGCAACAAAGGGGATTAGGGGACTGGAGGTTAAAACATATAAGGAAAGGTTGATGGAATTGGGTATGTCTAGTTTAATGAAGAGAAGGACGAGGGGGGACAGGATAGCAGCGTTCCAATATCTCAGGGGCTGCCCCAAAGAAGAGGGAGTCAAGCTATTCTCCAAAGCGCCTGAAGGCAGGACAAGGAGCAACAGATGGAAACTAATCAAGGAGAGAAGCAACCTGGAACTAAGGAGAAACTTCCCTGACAGTCAGAACCATTAACCAGTGGAACAACCTGCCTCCAGAAGCGGTGAATGCTCCAACACTGGAAGTTTTTAAGAAGAGACTGGGCAGCCATTTGTCTGAAATGGTATAGGGTTTCCTGCCTGAGCAGGGAGTTGGACTTGATGACCTCCAAGGTCCCTTCCAACTTCATTATTGTTGTTGTTGTTGTTGTTGTTGTTGTTGTTATTATTATTATTATATAATTTATATAGCATTTTTTATTATTTTTATAAATGCTTAAAGTGGCGAATGTATCGAACGCTCCTTCCGGCTCTTATTTTCCCCACAACTACAACTCTGTAAGGTGGGCTGGACTGAAAGGGTGTGACAGACCCAAAGTCACTCAGCTGGCTTTCGTGGCTAAGGTGGAGCTAGAACTCACCGTCTCCTGCTTTCTAGCTCGGTGCCTTAACCGCTAGACCAGGGGTAAGCAACCTTGGCTCTTTTATGACTGGTGGACTTCAACTCCCAGAATTCCTGAGCCAGCCATGCTGAGGGGAAAGGGAGAGGTTTCCAAGCTGAGCCATGCTGGCTCAGGAATTCTGGGAGTTGAAGTCCACGAGTCATCAAAGGAGCCATAGTTCCCCACCCCTGCGTTCGACCAAGTTGGCTCTCACCACTAGGCCAAAGCACTACTGCCTTGCAATAATGAGCGCCCTATAATGAGAGCACCCTACATACCCTGAGATACACACGTCCCCTTGTAAACCAGCATACACAAATAGATGTCTGTGTTGTTGAGCTGTGAAGTAAGGGGGAAAGCAGCTCTATCCTTCTGACCCTTACACGACAACCCCAGATGAGTGAGTTGGGAGCACAAATATGAATCGGCAATCCATGATCATCAGGCTTGCACATGCAAAGCCAAGTCCTGCAAAGATCTCTAACATTCAAAGACAGGTCAGCTCTGGCCGATCCAGGCATACTTCGTATAGTCATCGGTCTTCAGTGGGCAAGTCCTCTCGAATTTCCAACTCTTTTTAAACATGCTCCTGGCTTTCAAAAGCAGGGGTATCCAACCTTGGCAACTTGAAGACTTGTGGACTTCATCTCCCAGAATTCCTCATCCAGCCATACTGACTGGGGAATTCTGGGAGTTGAAGTTCACAAGTCTTCAAGTTGCCAAGATTGGGCACCCTTGCTCTAGACCAGACATGCCAAACGCAAGGCCTGGGGGCCGGATGCGGCCCGCGACGTAGTTTCATGTGGCCCGCGAAGCCATCCTGGAAACAGTGCGGCGACGGCCCCCGCTGCCTTGGCCCTGGCCCAGGACAGCCGGGAGCCAATGCACAATTTTGTGGTGGCCATCTATGCTGAAACGCATTCAGTCTTAGCTCCACAAGGCCGTCCGGAAACAGCGAGGAACCAGCCCCTGCTGTGTCGGCCCCGCCCCCCGGGTGCATGCTGGGGAGGTGTCGCCCTTTGTGAGGAATGAAGAAATGGACCGTGCCTTGGCGCTTGCCCCGGTCCAACCCCCTTCTGCCAGAGACCCTCAGACTTGTCCCACTCCTGCCCAGGCCCCCACAGGCACCCTTGACGCGAACGATGTAGAGCTGGCCATGCCCACCCAATAGGCCACACCCACTCCATTCACACCCACCCAGTAGGCCACACCCACCCGTCTCCCCTGAGGGCAACCGCAATGCGGATGCGGCCCTCAATGAAATTGACACCCCTGCTCTAGATGGTTCCAGTAGGAGAGAACATGAGTAGCTGGGGGTTATTGGTTTCTTCTGAATGTGGTGGTCTCCCCGCAGGTGTTTCATTACCAGGCTAGGTAACCTCAGTGTTGAGGGGTAGTGAGGTGTGCTGTCTGTTTATACATCATGGGTTGTCCTGTCAGTCTTTGGGGGGGATGGCATTTGTAGGTTGACGAGGAAAGTGTTTCTTCCTTGGTATGTTGTGGTGGTGTTTCTCGCTGAATCTGGATGGTGGCAATAGTAGAACAGCACTTAGCAAGAGCACTCAGATGTGTATACCACTTCACAGGGCTTTACAGCTCCTCCCTAAGCGGTTCACAGAGTCAGCCTCTTGCCCCCAACAATCTGGGTCCTCATTTTACTGACCTCGGAAGGATGGAAGGCTAAGTCAACCTTGAGCCCCATCAGGATCGAACTGCTGGCAGTCGGCAGAGTTAGCCTGCAAATACGGCATTCTGACCACTGCGCCACCATAGCTCCTTGGTGTGTAGAGTGGGTGTGGATGTAGATAGGAGAGAGAAACACCCTCCCTCTCCCCCTGACTGGCACTTGGGAGATTCACCAATGGGAGCTTTTATCCTAATGCTAAATTGTTGTGATGGGCTAATTATGGGGAATTTCATGCCTTCGGTCGCTCCGTCCCACAGTCACACATATTGGTTCACCGACTGTTCCTTGTGAGTTTGTTATTCCAGCAGGATTGTCGTCGTGATGCTCTGGTTTTGTCAACCTATTGCTCCCAAATACCTATATTGATTTTTAAAGCACTTTTTTTTTGGGGGGGGAAACCCAGTCTTTTATTATTGAGTTACATAAGCAGCTTTGGCCACCGTGCCAAATTGGTTGACTTTTGCGTACCTGAAAAAATAATAGAATATCTCCCGAGGTCGTCTCTTGCAAGGTATTTAGACGTTGTTCCAGAGTGTCTTAAGCTTCAGGAGCGATTTAGTACTAAAGGAGGCATAAAGAGAGGAAGTAGAAAGACTCAAAAAGCCTTCGAAACAATGGAAGCCTTTGAAAGCCACTTTTATGACGGAACTTGAAGCAATTTGTGCCATTAATCCATCTTATGTTACACTCAATTTTACATGATTTTTCTCTTCTGTTCTTGCATGTTCAGATTGTCCTTGACTTACAGTCATGTGACTTATGACCATTTTTTTTTCAAATGTACAACTGTTGCGACATCCTTACGGTCACGTGATCAAAATCCGGACGCTTGGCAACCGACTCGTATTTATGACGATTGCCGTGTCCGGGGATCACGTGGTCCCTCTTTTGTGACCTTTTGACAAGCAAAGCCAATGGGGTGGCCAGATCCGCTTAGCAGCCGAACAACTGCAGTGGCAAGAAAGGTCCTCAAATGGGACAAGACTCATTTGACAACCGTCTCGCTTAGCGACAGAAATTTTGGGCTAAAATTGTGGACGTAAGTCGAGGACTACCTCAACTGTAAATACGGTTGCAAATACCAAGTGTCAAAATCGGTTGAAACATTGATCAATATCTTGGTTTTATTAACAAGGTATTATAGAGCAATTTTCTAAATTTTTGTTAATATTGTACAGTGGTGGTAATATTTAAAAGGCAATAGTACTAAATTCTCTCTTCCTGTATTGTAGGTACGAGTTGCGAATTCGATACTTACCGAAAGGATTTCTGAACCAGTTTACTGAAGATAAGCCAACGTTAAATTTTTTATACCAGCAGGTAAAAGCAAACAGACAAAAGTGTCATAGATTTTGAAAATGTTTTTCAAGAATGGAAAATATATTTTGCTCATGTAAGGAATGGTACCAACGTAGAATACTTTTAGTAAAAATACTTTATTTGAAATAATATTGTTTAGGGGGGGAAAGGGGATGTTAGGCTTGATATTTCAGTGCATTAACTGATTGGTTATTTTGGAGTCTTCCAGAATTCAAGTTTTATATTTTGGGTGAATTCTGCAAATTTTCCAGACATTTGCTGTGTAATGTTATCCATTTTGTCCCCCAGATGTTGCAGTGTTGTAAATTCTAAAACTGTGAGAACTTCAGAAATAATTCAGAAAAAAATTACTTAACAGTAACCAGAGAATTGGTATTCAAACATTCAAAATATCCAAAACTAAATTGACAATGCCAGGATAGTTAAGAGAAAGTACATATTGTACAGACAAAATATGGAGTAAATTCTGATTAACCTGATTTTTTTTAAAAAAAGATTTTTCTGCAAGTGTGGTGGAAAAAAAGAGGTACCAATGCTTTCTGTGATCCAGTTCTTAAAACACTAACACCTTTTTTTCAGTCTTGCCTGGAAACCTGGGGAAAAAAAAAGCCTAATTCAGTGGCTAGCAAAGAGATATATTACATTTGGGCAAAATCCAAAACTCTCATTTTCAAAGCAAGAACAGCCGTACAAAGTTTTAAAATATTTTTTGCATGATGCATTATTACTGGTTTGAGGAATACTTTATTTTTTAATTAATGTATTTTTTTTTGTATGGATGAATGGTACATACCCATTTCTTGATTATTCCAGCATTCTATATATATATATATTGTGATTTTAGACTGTTGTTTTGCTTGTTCTAGTATTTAAACTTCAGTGATCTATTATGATCTTTAGATTTGGGCTCAGCTATGAATTTGAACCCCATTCTATCTGGGTTGTAATTTGCTTCAATTAATCACCACAGGAGAGTAAAAGGAAGCCGTCGTGCAGCTCTCATTTTAGATGCCCTCTTGCTTAAAGCCATATTCTTTCTCGTGCTTTTGGAGAAGAGAACAAGGAGAAAGTAATAGCTTTAAGCACACAAATTCTGTAAATTAGAGAAAAAAACCATTTGAACGTTTTAAGATCGCTTGGTATGTAATTTTTATAAGGGGGTGAGCACGAATCCCCGTCAGAGAAATCCATTGTCTTTAGGAAACATTAATGGTAAGTCATGATTGTTAAACAAGTTGGTTTACACGTTGATACAGTGTTGAGATCAACTTTATGAACTATCAATCCATACTTGTGCAGCATTATAACAAAATATGTATTCATTAAGCAGCTGAGAAGAATATTTGCGTTAAAAACCTGTATTGAGTTGACACAACGCTAACTCTTGTGAAATTCCCGTGGAATCCTATGAATTGTGGTTTGGGGTGAGCGGTGGAATGCTTGTGAGTTCCCTAATTGATTTATAGATAATTGGTTTTGAGGATGGTTTGAGAAGTCAATTTTCAAGCGCTTTTTTTTTACAGTTGTAGATGTCATGCCTAATTTTTAGTATTCATTTAGTGATTATTGGAAGCTACAACAGCACTAAAAATAAAGCGACTTATGGCTGTTCCTTGTACTTGCGACTTACGACACCCCCACTGTTGCATGATCCAGATTTGTGCGCTTGGCAACTGGCCTGTATTTACAACAGTTGCAGCATTATGGGGGTCAGGAGATCACCCTTGGTGACCTTCCCAGCCAGCTTCTGACAAGCAACAAGCTGGATTTATTTAACCAGCTGTACAATTCACTTAACAATTGCAGTGTTGGCTTAAGAACCATGGCGAAAAAGGTTGTAAAATTGAGGGTGACTCACATTGCCTTGTTTAGCAATGAAAATTATGGGCCTAAATGTGGTTGTAAGTGGAGGATCACCTGTATGGCCGAGGGTCCTCGGAAGATTGTTTTAAAGGGTGGCATACAAAACTATAATATAAATAAAATACCATTTTTATAAACTTATTACTAGAGTCACTTCTTAGATCCACAAAGGTTACACAGGCCCTCAGCTTGCAACCACAACTGAGCCTAAAATTTCTGTTGTTAAGCGAGACAGTTGTTAAGTGAGTTTTTCCCCCTTCTGTGACTTTTTTGGCCACCGTCGTTATTAAGTTAGTAACACGGTTGCAAAGTGAATCTGACTTCTTCCCCCTTGATTTTGCTTGTCAGAAGGCTGCAAAAGGGGATCACGTGACTCGGGGACACTGCAACCATCATAAATGCGAGCCAGTTGCCAGGCATCCAAATTTTGATTGCATCCCCACGAGGATGCTGCAGTGGTCATAACTGTGAAAAACTGTCATAAGTCACTTTTTTTTCAGTACCGTTGTAATGTCGAACCGTTGAACAGCATTCCTGACAAGGGCCCCGTTTCCCAGGCTTCAATCTTTTCCCTGGCTATCTTTGTACCTGCTCAGCCAACAATCTTAGTTGCTGTGAAAGGATAGATGGGGGTCCAGCACGAGTCCGAAAGCTGGGAAGAGCAAATATCTCGTACCGGTGACCGACCCAAATTCGATTTTGCTTTATTATCCTGTCCTTATATTGTCCTTCATTCGTGCTCATGCGAATAATACAGATTTAAAGATTCTGAACCTGTCTCTTATCTGCTCCTCCCTTGTCGCATGTTGAGTTTGACAACAACTCAAGGAGTGGGAGAAGAGAGATAGCTGGGATTTCTCCGAGGGGGGGAAAGGACAATTTTAAAGTCATTTTAAAGTCATTTTGCGTTGCACAGTGCCTGTCAGCAATCAATTCCCGTCCCCAGTCATTAACATCCTCGCTATGGTGTGACGCCTGTAATTAGGGGGAAAATGTCAAAGATCAGCTTGTCTTAACGTGGAAACTGTGACCTTGTTGATGAGGCAGCTGAAGGCAGATGGCCGATTGCTTCGACTGTAAGACAAATAATATATTTTTTTTAAGTGCCGTGAAGAAAAGTAGCGTTGGCCGGTTTTGTGGGAGGCACACATATTTTGTACAATTATTCGTCTCATCACGAAGCTGGGGGAAAAGGCCAAGAAACGTGGGGAATCACTTTCTGCATTCTGTGTCTCAGAATTTATGGTGTTTTCATAGAGCTATAAATTCACAGCCATTCAGGAGAAGGTATGAAATTGGATTAGCTTGCTTTTGGAATGATTGAAATCTACAAGTTTTACACCATCATCAAACCAACGCGAGGGGTGCGATAGTTAGGGAAATGGCTACTTAAAATATTATGAGGACTCCTCGTTGATGAAAAAAAGGCTAAGCGTAGAAAAGCATAGTGTTTTATAGAAAGTACGGTACATTTTGCAGCTGTAGCACTTTCAGAATTTCAAGGGATGCTTCTCACAAGAAACAGTTAGAAGCGGGTGCAGGTTTGCGTGACTTTAGAAATTAGATCCAGCTAAATGAGAATATTTCTGAATGTTACTTGTTTAGAAACAAATAGTACCACCTATGTTTTTAAGCATCTCCTATCCAGTCCTTGAAACAGTGTTTGAAAGACATGGTCAGTCTTTCATGAAGCTCACCTCAAAATTGAGAATATAGAACATACAACAATAGGGTTAGGTGTCTTCTAATCTAGTGGTTCTCAACCTGTAGTCCCTGGGGGGCTGAAATGTTGTCAAGGGACTCCGCAAAGGCTTGAAGAAGTGTTATGTTTTAAATCTTGGGGGGGGGGGTGTCTGTGCCCATGGCCCCTGGCCACAAAAGCTCTTTAAAGGGGGGTCCATGCTGAAGAGGAGGTTGAGAACCACTGTTCTAGTCCGATCCTTTGCTCAAGCAGGAGATCCTATGCTATTCCAGTCAAGTGGCTGTCCAGTTTCTTCTTGGAAATTCAATTTTCAAAATTTAATTGCGGACGAGAGAGCTGCCTTGGCATGTGTTGCTTAGACCTGGCTGGGCACATGGTGGGTGGGTGGCCAGAAAGTTTCAGATTTGACACCAGCCACCACACTAGCGGTGGAGTGCCATTGTTCTGGAGACTGAGGATTGTTAGGGTGCTGCCCCACAGGTATGAGTGAACGTGAGATTGGGTCTTAGAGATCAGTTGGGATTTCTGCTACTGTACAAACCTCACTTTTGTGTACTTGCTTCCTTCAGCTTCCCTGCCACATCTGTTTAATGCCATATTTAGGTTGAGCTTAGGGTTCTGGGGGGCTTCAGCCCGCTTTCCCTGGCTGTGGACTTGAAGGCAATGTAGAAATTCAATGGCTGCCATGATGACTCAGCTTAAGTGGATGTGAGGGTTGCACATGCCTGGGTTTCTGGCCAGTCGTAATGTGATCTAGAATTGGAGGATATTATCATAAACCCTTGTCTAGTAGTACTCCATACTACTTCCTGTTGACCGCCTGGAGCTTACTACTGCATGCTCACACTCCACAGGAGAGCTAGATCTACTCATGTGGTCTTCCATGGACCCAAGATGGGTTTCAGAGGGAGCTTGTGGCTGTTCTTGTGGCTTGGTTCATGGTTGTGCATGAGATCTTGGATGCTTGGAACGAAGCAACAGCGACTTTAGATCTGATGGGGTCTAAGGTGGACTCTCACCGTCTGCAGACCTCGGAGGGCCCCGTGATTTACCAAGGACCTCTGGAGGATGAAACAACGCAACAGACACCTGCGGTGCTGCTGGAGCAAACGTAACTGGACAGAAGACGCTTTATTAGGGTTTACTTTGTAGCATGGAAAGCAGCAAATTGTGATTATTTCATGCCCTTATTGCTTATTGTGCTCTCTGAGTTCGTGGAAACTTAATTTCTACTGGGCCAGGAAAATATATGCCAAGGTCATTGTGAAGACTGTTCTCGGCACCTAATGGGTAAAATGGCTCTTAGCTACACTCCAGCTGAGTTGTACTCAACAATTTGGAGATTCACAGAAGGAATAGTTTGAACATGATGTGAATCTTACACAGATTGTAGCCTGCTTGGAAAAATGTTGGATGATTGCATCTGATCTTTGAACGAAATAGTCCTTGTATTTGAAATAATACTGGTAATTGACTTGTGTTTATGACCCATCCCTGCTTGCTTTGCTCTTAGGTGAAAAATGACTATATGCTAGAGATAGCAGATCAGGTGGACCAGGAAATTGCCTTGAAGCTAGGTTGCCTTGAAATCCGGTAAGACCACCTTTTAAATACTCATTTCTAAATAGAACAACTTACTTTAATCTCAGTGTCCTAATCAATATGCTCAAGTAGAATCTTCGAAATTTATTGTAGCATAAACAGTAGAATTTTAAAATGTGGACACTTTTATGAAAACAATGTTATGCTCTATCTGTTCCATTCAAACCTAGACTTAAGTAACTTTTTAGCTAAGCAGTTAATTTCAGGTTTGAAAATAGCGTTAAAACAGCCACATTGTGAGTTGACTCTAATTTGTGAATGGTAAAGATTCTGGCTCATCTTTCAATAATAATTTGTTTCTATCTCCTGCAGTAACTTCTGGCCTAATGTTTCATAATTATTGAAAGAAATAGTTTTGCAGAGCAAAAGACTAGGAAAAGCAAATTCAGGAACATTTGAAATTGCTTATTGCAAGGAATAGAATCCTTCTGGAGCTAAGAAAAATTGGTCAAAATTGTTTAACATGAAGAAGGACTTTTCTAAAAAAGGGGGGGGGATTTTTGAACTTCATAGTTTTTTTCTATCACCTTTCCAGGCTTAAGCTCAGCAAAAGAGATTTTGTGGTACCCTACTACTGTGCAGTGAGTTACTAAAGCTGTCAAGTTGTAGATTTTTCTCGCTATGAAAGGCCACCACTTAATAGGAAAATTAAGGATCCTTTTGTGTAAAGGATCTTACGCATCTCACTTCCTGGTTGGGTTGGAGGAAACTTTAGATTGAGGGTTCCAGACAACAGTTGCTATTCATATATTTTACCAATTTTAAAATCTTACACACATCACTCTTCAGTTGTATACTAGGATGTTGAGTAGAACTTGACACTGGGATTTAAGTAACATGTCCCCAACTTTCAAATCTAAATAAACAAAAGCATAACAAGAAAACAAAGTTAGTAAGTTCCCATATAGTATAAGAGCAAATTTTAGAATCCCTAAAGCATATGTTCATTGTTCATTATCTTGTAGTTTACACCGTTGTGTTAATTCTTCAGCTGTCTCGTATAATAAGGCTAGGAAAGCAGCAATCAGTATGAAATTAGTAATAAACCAAGCAACAGAAAAATTAGGATAGGAAGGAGAGACCAAATTGCAATTTTGAGTTCAAGTCTCAGAATAATGGTGCTTTCCGAGAATACTAACGTTACTAGTGAGTAGTAATGGGAATAATTAAAATTGAATTTTTAAAAGGGGTATACAGATGAAGGTCTAGGGAACACTGTAGCTGATGACCCAAAATTTGATCTCTTAAAATCCTTCAGTCTGTTCTCCCCAGAAGTTCTTGAGCACTTTAGAAGGACCTTTTCTGCCAGAACTAGAACAGAGCTTGGCTGTGTGGACAGAGGAGCAGCAGAATGTAGGAATTGGATGAAACAAGCTCTAAAATTATTTACACCTGGCCAGAGCTAGTTTAGTGGGAAGTATAAATTGTCAGTGAGATTTACTACAGCAGAACTCAGCATAATTAGAGACTGTAACTTTAAGAGTATAGGACCACCATTTTAGATTCTTTTCCACAATGAATATTTCATAACACCTAAAGTATGTCAGTTAAGTGACATCTGCATCCCTTATCCTTTTAGATTGCTGCCTGACAGGTCCATCACATCGCTCATTATCAATCACCCATCACTTTAAAAACATTAAGAGTGGATATCCATAATCTGACATCACAAGAGAAGAATTCATTCTGAGTTTTATATCTTTACATGTACTGCAGCTATAATTTTAGATGTTATACTTTGAACATTTTCCTTCAGTCACTGGGATGTGAAATATATCTCCAGTTTGAGGTTCAGAAATCTGCAGAAAGTTTTTAAAACTTTATAATGATTGATCTCCTGTATGTTTAGTCCAACAACGGTGTGTGTGAGTGTGTGTCCTGTTAGGCATGTTTCTGAGTGTTCCCAATCATCTGTGCTTTAGTTTGCCTAGGTAAGTAAATAGATACATTTATATTCCACCTTTATAATAATATATAAGCACTCAAGGCAGCTTTCAGTAATAACAGATAAAAGCCAAAAGCTGAAACATAATTGAAATCAGATTTGAAATCAAGACAGTTCAGCTTAGCATTTAAGAGCGCTGCCCTTTTTTTTTTATAATTTCAGGAGATCATACTGCGAAATGAGAGGCAACGCATTGGATAAAAAGTCCAACTACGAAGTCTTAGAGTAAGTATGTGGTTGCAGTTTTGTTAGGACAACATTCTTTTGAAATTCAAATTCTTTCTGTTAGAACAGAGGTCTTCAAACTCGGCATGCTGGCTGCAGAATTCTGGGAGTTGAAGTCCATGAGTCACAAAAGGGCCGAGTTTGAAGACCCCTGCATTAGAAGGAACACAATTGTTGCTCTTGGAAGTAAGAATGCAAAGGTTGTCATTATTGTTCTAATTAAGGTACGATGAGAATTTATAAAAAACCTAGTGAATTTTTGACCTCTGAGCTTATTGAAGAAATAAGAGCTCATTGATTCTGGCTTGACTGAGACAAATTGGATGATTCATAGTCTGAATCTGGTGATACACAAGATCATCCCTTTTTTTTCCTTTTTTTTGGGGGGGGGGGTCATCTGCATTCTGTTAATACGTGTGGGATCAGCTGGTTAGAAGCCCTTTGTCATGTGTCTGAGTAACGAAACACTTAAAAGGACTTTCAGGCATGTTTTCTCCTAAAAGCTTTTATTAATGTTAAAGTACATCAGCACGGCATGGGGGAATGCTTAGAACTGCTTATCTTCCGGTACGCCTAGCATTCCAGACATTGTCCACTCCCTTATTGTAGGGTCATGGTTCACATCTTCCAATCAACTTGAAAGATGTGATTTACTTCCGGTTTCTTTCTCCCGGGCTATCCCTATGCTCCTCCCTCTCTCCTAGTTGCTGGTTTAACTATATATATACCAGACAGTTCTGCACATTGTCAAAGCAAGAATATACAGTATTTGCAGCGTTGACACCCTTTTTACAAAATGATTTTTCCGTAGGTGATTTTCGGTTATGTGATTAATCAGTCATGGGACTAAGTGATGCTGAGTTTTTAATTATTTATTAGCTCCTGGAAATGTACAGCCTGTGGTTTGGTCTCTCTCTAACTCTGCCCTCCCTGTCCTAACCTAGAATGCAGTTAGCAGAACGAATTGCCCAGCATGGATTTTAAAAAGTCATTGATTGACATGGGCTGCAGAGGGAGTTCTAACCAAATTTCACCAAAGGTCTTGAAGAGCTTTGCATCCAGTCCCACAAAAAAAAAAGGAGCTGTTTTGCTGTGGCCATTAAAGGGTGGTTTTCTTTTCATTGCCTTTAAGGCAAGGCTTTTCAACCAGGGGTACGGGTACCACCTGTGGTACATTGGCACCTGGCAGGTGGTACGCAACCATCCTAGAAAATGGGGGGGGAGGGGAATGAGCTGAACCGGTGGCAGCACCGCACAAGCCTGAGCGAGAGACGGCTGGAGCTGCAGGGCTGTCAGGGCTCAGCGGAAGTGCCAGGATCAGTGCCGCTTTCCAGCTGATCGGCGCTTCTTCGGGGCTGTTAGGGCTCAGCGGAAGCGCCAGGATCAGCGCCAGGCTCCAGCTGGAGCTCGGCACTGATCCTGGCGCTTCTGCTGAGCCCTGAAGAAGCGCCGATCAGCTGGAATGTTGCAGCCTCTCCAGGGTCTTGTGATTTACATTCAGATGCTTGGCAACTGATTCATATTTATGACGGTCACAGTGTCCCAGGGTCATGTGAAGTGACCAAAACCTGCTGCAACCACCCAGCAGACGGGGGGGAATAAAAACCAAACACCCCCCACCCCACCCCCGCTGCCAATGCTCAACAGAAATGTTCACAATGAAAACCTCGGACAGGAGGAAGAGCATGGCCGGGTGGGCCGGCAGGTGTCTTGCTCGGCTGTGGCTTGGGCGGCACTTTTTTCAGTGCCATTGTATCTTCGAACAATCACTAAGCGAACTGTTGTAAGTCGAGGACTACCTGTACTTCATCAGTTTTTTCCTTTTTTTTTTTTTTTTTTTGGTCATCCAGTTTTTGACACCTTGCTAGGTGATTGGTGGTACTTGGATACTGCCATACCCTAAAAGTGGTACAATGGGTGAAAAGGTTGAAAAGCCCTGCATTAAGGGATTGGTACCATCACAAGGTTCCCTGTGATGAGCAGGAAATCATCCACCATGACTGCATTTATAACTTCAAAGGAAGCTTTGGGGGTCTATTACAAAGAATCACCACTAGCCGGGTGATCCAGATTGTTAAATAGGGACAGGAGAGAGTGAAGTCATATATTTTGGATTTTAAATTACTTGTAAGAGATGTAAGGCTGGAATGACTTGGCCCTGATTGACTGGTTTAGAGAAGGGCTGGTTATAGATCTGGGAGATGAGCTGGGAAGGCAGGGCACACCCCAAGATTTTTTTGGGGAGGAAATAATGTTTTTTAAAAAATGAATTTGATTGACTATTGGCATCTGTATTTGTATTCTAGCACAATTCTTCTAAAATATAGTGTATTATTATTTCACATTGTTAAAACGCACAACATTTTTCATGCTTATTTCAGGAAAGATGTCGGTTTAAGAAGATTTTTTCCAAAGAGTTTACTGGATTCAGTAAAGGTAATGTTGCATTCTGCTCATATATTATTGGACCCTAAGTTTTGATCATTCTATTTTTGGCTCTTTCCAAGTGTGCATTTTATTTCATCCATATATATATATATTATTTATATATATATTCAAAAAAGAGAAATGACTTTTCTAATGACTTGTAAAATCTCCAAACTGGAACCAAACATATGTGCTGTTGTATCAGGTGTTTTCTACTCATTCCTGGACTAGGTGGAACCACGTTGTTGCTATGTGGCTTGGATGTGGTGCATACCGTACTAACATCTGTCTATTTCATTATCAAGGCCAAAAATCTACGAAAGATGATACAGCAAACGTTTCGACAATTTGCCAACCTCAATAGAGAAGAAAGTATTTTGAAATTCTTTGAGATTCTCTCACCGGTATACCGATTCGATAAGGAATGCTTCAAGTGTGCCCTTGGAGTAAGTATGGTGCTTTCAACTCCTTGGACACCGCGCAGAATAATTATTCTAATTTTAATGTTGAGTTTAGCACTTTATTGTTAGCTTAACTAGACATATGGGCTGGTTCTTTGCTTAAGATGCTACTAATTTTTCTTTATGTGTGGATGATGAGTATGCCATTTATTTTTAAAACGTTTAATTCTTCTACATTTCTGACAGATTGGGAGTTTAGGAACTGCTAACTAGATTAAAGGTTATGGAAAAGTGGAATTATTTTAAAATGCAATATAAAGGCTAGCTAGGGTAATAGTAGGTAACTGTGTCTCATCTCCCTATTGTTGGGCTTGGAGAAAGGATTTAATTTTGAAAAAAATGTGCGATGGTCAATAACACGTGTGGCACGAGGTTTACAGTGACCACTGAAGCATTTGTGCCTTCTGCTTTAAAAATGGGGTAATTCTTCAAGGTGTTGGGAGTTATAGCATAGGAATATTTATTTAAATTATTTATATCACTGCCCATCTTACAGTAGTGGGTCTGGGTGGGTTACAAGGATTAAAATACAAACCACAACATATAACTCGTGGTCCCTAAGGTTAAAACAACAATCCTAGTGACTGAAAAATACATCATCTTCAGCAGAGCTCCCTAATCCCCAAATACATTGTGAAATCAGTTCTTCGGTCTCTTCTGAAAGGCTAACATAAGTGTACTCTATTAAGGGTTTATCCAGTGTTCGAAGTGTAATTTATTAGTCAAGTATCAGTTTGTTTAATTGGGTGATAATCAAGATCTTTATTCAATGTTCAAACGTTTTCTTCCCAAACGTTCACCGCTTCTTTTCCATATTATTAACCATAAAAGTCCAGCTGGATTATTTCAGTGGAATTGGCCATCGGTCCAGAAGAAGGAATCAGCTACCTTACGGACAAAGGATCCAATGTAAGTCCTACAAATGGGTTAGATGAATTCACATCTGAGCAAATTTTCAAATTTGCCGTTAGTTTCTGTGGGAACTGGACCAGTATTGTTAAGGAAGCTTATTTTTTTTTTTTAGCAGAATACGTAGACCTAAGAAAGGAAACTGAATGATACTGCTTTTTCTTCTTAATTCATAAGCGTTTCTCATTCAGTATGATTTTTAGCTTTACTTCTAATTTACTGTCACTTGTTTTACAGTTAATGCATTTTTGCACTTTCAGTACATTTTTTTTTTCATCTTGTTTGAGAGGTTGGATTTTTATTTTACGGGGATATTTTTTTGTAAACATATTACTTAGATTTAAGGCAGTTTATGTACTGGAAGCGAAGCAATTCCCAGAATTGCAAGAACACAAGCTGGCGATCAGACGAGGAGGGCCAAACTCATTGGCAGCCTCGCCTTGCAATGAACACAAAGACATATACATTCAATTTTGCTGCTGTTAGGATTGTCGGATGAGCAGGCACAAAAACAGCCAGGGAAGTGATTGAAGCCTGGGAAAGGAGCCCTTGTCAGTCAACAGGATGCGCCCCCAAGTTTATCAAGTACTTGGTAGCACAGGAAATAACAGCCAATGACTTAATAGCCAGCCAGCAACACCCCAATCTACATCTAAAAAGCCACATACAACAGGCACCATATAAATACTTCACACATAACTGCTCAAAACATACATTCAGTTAGAAAGAAGATCCCTGAGGATGGGCTCCAAGCACGAGTCCAAAAGCTCGGAAGAACAAAACTTTGGTCCCGGTGACCAATCCTGCAGCATTATCCTGGGACACGTATATCCGCCTTCATTTGTCAAAACCCAAAATGCATTATTCGTATTCCCATGGTAGGTTTACAGTCAGTTTTCATGTGGGCTCTGGGCCAAAATTACCCTCACTAAACAGCCAGCTGATCAGGCAAACTATTGTCAACTATTAATTGTTTCTTTTGCCCCATCAGTAGCACGTAAGATGGACACGGGGCATGGATAACAGTGAAAGCCAGTAAAACCACAGGAATGCTCAGGAAAATAGAATTTATTTGCACGTACCGTGTTTTGTATCTGGTGGTGTTTCTGCCCGCGCTGGTTCTTCCTCATCATATTTTTCTTCTGTTGTTCTCTAGCCCACCCATTTGGCAGATTTCCATCAAGTACAGACCATCCAGTATTCAACTAATGAAGACAAGGACCGAAAAGGAATGCTCCAGATGAAAATTGCCGGAGCACCAGAGGTAAGTCTGTGGATGCTTCTTCTGGGCAGGCAGAAAGAGCAAGCAAATTCCTTCTGCGTGTTTTTATGAATAAAGGTCGGTGTGGATGTCCCTATTTCATACTATAAAAACGTATGGGATAAATAGATTATGTTTATATATATATAAAGAGCTAGACCGCAAACTCGGAGCCAAACCAAAGCCCGGTATACTACATCACAGCCTTCTGCTCTGGACATCACATCACAGAACTCAGGAGGTTACAATGCTAAAGCTCAGGATGTTACAACACAGCCAACCACCCAGGATGTTGCAACACAAAACTCAGGATATCACTACACTAGATCTCAGGATGTCATCACACAGCCCATTACCCAGGTCGTTACAACACAAAAGACTAATGGGCACACAGCCAGCACCTCAGCTACTCAGGATGTTACGAAACAGCTGAACAATCCGCAAACAATAACTCCAACACAGCCAACCAACCCACCTACAGCAACAAAGCTAGCACTCCACACACCCCCACCAATATTTATAGAGAGACGGCAGCTCCGATCACACTTTGCTCGCACAAGCACAAAGCCGAAGACCCCAGCCTGAAGATGACGAGTGGGACCTCGTCGAAACGTCGCTATATAGTAATTTCCTGATTAAGGTTTTATATTTACTGGAGAACAGGATCAAAACCATAGAAGTTATACCATCAGAATAAGTGGATTACACACTTCTACTGACCATTGGTGCTATTGATTTTTATGATCATTTAGGATGATGTATGGAATTTAAAACAGGACTGCCCCTTTTGGGTACTCGTCAATACGTTCTTTTTCACAGAAGTTGCTGTAAAGACAAAACTGGTAACTGGCAAAACAATGGAACTCGGGAGTTAATTTGCCTGCTTTAGCTTTATGCCTGATGTCATCAGTAAGTGAATAAAAATGGCAGGGAAGAAGTAGAAAAGAATGTTATTTGAGAACTTTGTTGTTGTTAGTTGCGAAGTTGTGTCCCACCCATTGCGACCCCATGGACAATGTTCCTCCAGGCCTTCCTGTCCTCTACCATCTTCCGGAGTCCATTTAAGCTCACACCTACTGCTTCAGTGACTCCATCCAGCCACCTCCTTCTCTGTCGTCCCCTTCTTCTATTGCCCTCCATCTTTCCCAGCATTAGGCTCTTCTCCAGTGAGTCCTTCCTTCTCATTAGGTGGCCAAAGTACTTGAGTTTCAACTTCAGGATCTGGCCTTCTAAAGAGCAGTCTGGGTTGATCTCCTCTAGGACTGACCGGTTTGATCGCCTTGCAGTCTGTGGTTGGATAATCCTGATTTGGAGGATTTTGCTTCTGTCGTGAACTACACAGCATTGATGGAACAGCCCGGGAAAAGCTATCCTTCATTTAAGGCTGCCCTCTCCTTCGTTGCTGCCATAAGCTTCCCTTCATCATTTTATTTGCGTTTGGAAATGATCCAGCTGGAACAAGTTCTGAAATTGACTTTTACATCCCTTCCTTGGTCTCTTTTCTCAGATTCTCCCCATAAGAGCAGTGATTGGGCTTCTTGTTACTTTACAACAGTGTTTCTCAACCTTGACAATTTTAAGGCATGTGGACTCCAACTCCCAGAAATCCACAGCCAGCAATGCTGGCTGTGGAATTCTGGGAGTTGAAGTCCACACGCCTTAAAATTGTCAAGGTTGAGAAACACTGATTTACAATAACACCAACTAATCAAGTTTGTCAAGACTACAAAAGACTATTTCTCGATGTCTTTTACCACATAAACACTGTTGGAATATCATAGAGTGGTACCTTGGTACTCAACTGCTTTGAAACTCATTAAACCTGGTATTCAACACATTTTGACACCAACATTTTGTCCCAATATTCATCGTTTTGTTTGGTACTCAAGATGGAACGTGTCGATGTCAGCTGCCTTGTGACTCATTACGTTATTCCATATGGGATAAATTGCGGCAGGGCAGGCAGCGCAGTTTGAGTTGCAGCCCCCATATTACGGGGTAGCCCACCTCTTGACAATTAAGTTAAGGTGGGATTTCTGGCCTTAGGAAGCGACTAAAAACTGAACTGTCCCGGAAGGCATTGGAACTTGTTACTTTCATATGTTTGATTTTTATTTTTTTTATGTTGCTTTTAAATTTTGACGTCAACCACCCTCGGAGTGATTTTTTGAAATAAGGAAGAACAAAAAGTAGAATTGGTAACTAGTTGGATACATGAAGATTAATTTTGAAATGTGTAGAGTTTGCTATATTTTTTTCTATCCTGCTCTATGGAGTAGAGAGTTGGTCTCTGACTGAAGGCCACCTAAAGAGACTAAAAGCATTTGAAATGTGGATTTACAGGCGGCTGTTACGTAGAAGCTGGGTTGACAAGATCAGAAATGAGGAGGTGATCAGCTGCCTGGGAAAGCATCAAAACAATTAAAAAAAGGAAATTAGAATATTTCGGACATGTGATGCGACACCCAGAAAAATACGGCATACTCCATTTAATCCTCCAGGGAAAGATGGAAGGCAAATGAGGGCCAGGCAGAAGAAGAACATCGTGGCTTCAAAATCTAAGGGACTGGTTTGGACAAAACTCAGCAGCACTTTTTCGTGCGGCTGCTGATAAAAACAGGATCGCCAACTTGATCGCCAACGTCCGATAACGGATATGGCACAAGAAGAAGAAGAAGTAGAGTCTGTGGATGCATCCATGCATAGAAGTCCTCTCATATACCTGGAAGGCTTATTCTCTTCCTAGAACAAAATTATCATGCTTCTGTTAGCATCGGCACCAATCTCGGCGGTCACACATTTCACACGTTATGTACTCGTTGGGAGTTCCTCCAGATGGAGAAATTTAAGGCATAAGAACTGGTGATTTTTTTTCCCCAGCCCTCCGAGTACTTTTTTTCTCTTTACTGCCTCTCATTTGCATGCTCTTCTCTGATGTAATAGTTCAGCAGCTGTGCTAAATGTTTGTGTCTGCAATAAGGCCTCTTTGTTCAGTGCACTATTTTTTCCCTCCCTCTCTCTCTTGTAGCCTCTGACAGTGACAGCACCGTCCTTAACCATTGCAGAGAACATGGCGGACTTGATAGATGGCTATTGCCGACTGGTCACGGGGGCGACACAGTCTTTTATTATCCGACCCCAAAAAGGTAAGAGGAAACATTTTGCGTAAGTGTTTTTGTCGTGGTCACTTTTTTGTGATGTCCTATAATTGAGAAGAAATCAGTGGCAGCACCTCTGCATGGGTAACTGATCAGATATATAAGGAGATAAAGGTCAGCAGGATTCTGGTAACGTGTTTTCAGATTTGCAAATTTTATTAAAAAGGTACAGATTTTCCTGAAGTACAGCTTGCTTCTCCGAATGCATGGCCTAAGATTGTGGGTTGTTTTAAATAAAATTTGATAGAGTAAAAAAGTGTGACCAGAGAGTCCTGATCGTTGACTAACATAGCACACCTCTTACAATATAACTAGATAAAAATACATACAATTTCTGCAAGAGACTATATAAAGGCAAACTAAAACAGCTATTCCAGTAGTTACGGTAATACCGTAATTCTGTAAATGATAACACTTATGTGTCACTCGCTTATTGAATAACAATCGGTGCCCACAATTCTCTTCTTTTCTGCCCATGACTTGTCTATCTCTGTTTAGTTCATAGTTTTGTTTGGGTCTGTAATTGTGTAGGAAATTCTCCTCTTGACACTGACATTAACTGCTCAGATATAATTTTGTTTCTGTTTGCATGTGAATCTCCTCCTCCAGAGAGTTAGTGAAGCTTACCTGATTCTTTTGTCCCCATCACAGAGACCATGGGGAAGGAATTAATTTGGCTGAGACGTATTGATTGCTCCAAATTGCCCATATTTGAAAAGGGATTCTAATTTTAATCCTGTTGTTAGAAATCCAGCCTTGCTATTATTAAAAATTATAGCGGCAGAAATAAAAACCGATACAAGCTAATAAAATAAAAGAATAAACATAAAACTAGAAAGTGCAGGAAAAATATAGGAAAGAAAGGAAAAGAATAAAGAAAAAGAAAAATATATAAAGAAACGACTTTCCCCTTCATCACAATAAATATAAACAATTTCAGTAACTTATGTGTGTATTTATTAATATGGGGCAATAAACATGTTTTTTTTTCTCTTCGTTTAGAAGGTGAACGAGCTTTACCATCCATACCAAAGTAAGTTCGAATGTTTTTGTTGGAAATTTTAAAACATTAAACTGAATACATTATTATGTGGATTTATACTCTGAAGTCTCTCCAAATGTAAGCAGTTGCAAATGCTGAGCATAAGGGAAGACCCATACCTAGTTCAGTGTGTGAGATTGAAGACTTTGCACACACAGAATTTTGCATCCAGACCTCAGTTTCTATTGCTAAAAGGATTTTGGTAGAATGGCTTGATGTTGCCTTTTGCTTCAGAACCCAAGAGAACCAGTTTTAGATAGGGGGTAATACTAAAATAAAAATAAAAATAAAAATGGAAATAATATAAGAAATGGTTGCGGTATTATTCCAAATGGAGGCGATACCATTTTTATATTCTCCATTGTTTTAAGTAAACTATATGTGTGTACAGGTAATCCTCGACTTAACGACCACAATTGAACCCAACATTTCTGTTGCTAAGTGAAGCATTTGTTAAGTGAGTTTCGCCTCATTTTACGACCTTTTCTTGCCTCCGTTGTTAAGGGAATTTGGCTTCCCCGTTGACCTTGCTTGTCGGAAGGTTGCAAAAAGGGGGTCACGTGACCCCTGGACACCGCATCTGAATTTTAGTCACGTGACTAAGGGGATGCTGCAACGGTCATAAGTGTGAAAAACGGTCGTAGGTCACTTTTTTCAGGGCTGTTGTGACTTTGAACGGTCATTAAACGAACTGTTGTAAGTCGAGGATTACCTGTATGGGTTTAATGCCGGCTCATTTTATCTTCCTTTTGCCTGGGAGACCAAAATTAGACCTAATTCAATTATCTGAGGACGCATCTTGACCCAATGGGATTGGCCCGTCCCACTCACTCCAGTGGAAGAGGCCCACTCCAGACCCCATTTGCCAAAGAAACCTGGGCCCCCGATAGTGCTTTATGCTTTATGAAGAGGAATATTAGTAGCTCTGGGTTGAAATGATGATGTTAACTAGTTAGGGTAGTGAAACGTCTGCAAGAAAACAAACAAGCTCAGAGAGCACCAAGGACCCCACAGTCGTCGTCGTCGTCGTCGTC